ATTCATGTTTCAGCGATTTGTCGTAAATACTACATATCCACCCTCTGATGAAGTTCAACATGTCGACTGGTGAACTTATCTGCTTGGGCTGTGCTTATCTGTTATGAAAGGAGGGAAGATAGGTATCAATTAAGGGGGACGGCAAGTTGGTTGCGTGGGAGGAATATTTTACGTGTCGACAATGCTTTTCTGGTGAAAATATTACATTTGTCAGACTTGATTTGGTTCCAGGGTGAACCGAACTTTGACATTTGTTCGTATTGATCGTATCGAGTTCCGAGGGGAATTCATGCTTATTTTCGCCTTGGAGAAATTGCACCGTATCGAGTGACACTTGCACGTATTTTTTGACAGGATTACGTAAAATGTGGGGTCAACAATTTTGTAAAATCTCATGCTTTCTATTACTGGAAATTTGGCGAATTTGGCGTTGTTTTCGCAAGGAGAAACTGCACCGAATAGAGTGACACTTCTTTTTTTGGGCGAATTTTTTGACAGGATTACGTAAAATGTTGGGTCAACAATTTTGTAAAATTTCCTACTTTCTTATACCGTAAATTGGGCGAAATTGTAGTTATTTTCGTATAGGCTGGATTCCATTTAGAGATAAATTGAACGCATTTTTTCGAGAATAGAAATTTGAGAGGAATATTACCTCGCAACGTTTGGTGTCCAAATTTTTGCAAAATTTCTTCCTTTTTTTATACTTCGTATCAATTTCAAGTCTGCCATTCGCCTCGATTTCTATCCTCTCGAGAATTGAGGACAATACATAAGTGAGGCTAAAATGTATTGAATTAACGGTCGGATTGTCAAATTTGTCCTGTGGAAAATTGGGGGAGACGTGGACGTGGACATAACGAAATAATAGTGGTCGTCGTGGCTAGATGCAATCTTGCCCTCTTGTTTGGGTTGTTATATGGTGGAAATAAAACGTCGTAATTTCTGGTAATCGCCCCTAATGGATTTTCCCTCCCGAGACTCTCCACTCACTCGCCCAGTGGACTTTATGTATGTGTTTAGAGATTGGATTCTTCTCCCTCCATCTCCAATTCAAATATGTGCCCCCACCAATTTACAAAATCCACACGACGAGCAGGAGGCGATTATTGGGTGGATGCGGACTAATTCTTCCTTGGGATGGAAATTTTTGGGGGATCGCAATTAGAATCAGACGAATTTTAGGGTCAATTTCCAAATTTTGTTCTGGTTTATTATGAAAATTTGAGGGGGGATGGATAGCAATTAGAACTTTGGTACGTGAATGTAGGAATTTTAGGGTAAAAATTCCAAATCGTGCTCTATTTTTTGGGGAAATCTTGAGCGAAAAACGGATGGCGAGGAGCAATTAGGACTTTTATTATCAAATTCCAAATTTTGTTGTTTTATTCGGATATTTGGAGCCAAGACTAGAAGAAATTAGGACTTTGTTAAATGTGCGAATTTTAGCGTCAATTTTCAAATTTTGTTCGGAAATTTTGAGGAGATTGCAATTAGAAGAAGCGAATCTCACAAATTTTAGGCTCAAATTCCAAATTTTACTCAGAAATTTTGAGGGGAAAACGGCTATATAGCAATTAGAACTTTGTTAACTGTAGGAATGCTATAAATTTATTTTCCTGGGAAGCGTCGGATTCGACATTTTGGTCGATTTGTTATGTTCAGAAACGTGTAATCAATCTAAATCTGGCTGGGCTGGAGTTGAGGGAGTTGGAAAAGTTTGGACGGGAGGATTAATGGGACATGTAAAATAATAAGGTGTACTTAATAATGATTGCGTAACAAATGGTGATATTTTCCAGAGAGGCGAGTAATTTGGGTTTCGTTGACATTTTAGGTCGTCTTTTTATATTAATATCGAGTTAGTTCGTACGTACGAGAGTATCTGAATTCAATAACAGATAAAGGCCAACCAACCAGAGAATACATACTTTGTAAGAGTCCGTTGGTTTCGTGGGGTATTCACGTCGAATACAGAATTGTGGAGATTCTCCACTTCAGAATTGGGTATGAATTTTGGTCTGTTTTTTGGTGTTTATTGAGAAATTGAGAATTGTGGTCGAATTTGTGTCCACGTGTTTAAATTTATTCCGAAATTGAAGAATTGAGTGTGAATTTATGCCAAATTTTATTAATTTTTTGGGGAATTTATGTAGTCACAAATTCGGGACTTTTGATCAAATTTTGCTTAGATTTTTGTATTTATTCAGAAATTAAGTGTACATTTTGCCTTTTTTTGGCGTTTATTTAGAAATTGAGGAATTGAGTACGAATTTTTGTCGAATTTTTGCCACTTTTTTGGCAATTGTGCCGTAATGACGTAGCAATTTAGTTGTTGATATAATATCGAATGCATAGGAAACTGATGTCCACCGTATTGTAAATCGTATGCGTGGTACCGTAATGTTGGGGACAGAACTTGGCCATTTTTTATGCCGATCTGAGAGCAGGAGCAGACCACACGTCCCGCAGTAAAGATAACAGTAAAGATAACTTTAACCGTAACCATGAACTAAAAGCAAGCGGTCTTCTTCTCTTTGTATTCAATCTTGCACCCATTCCTCCATTATGGCGAGGTTAAGGTTATCTATCTCCCTCCCTTATCCACCCACCCATCCATCCACCCAACCATATCCGTCAATCCTCTAAATCTACTATGCACTACCCGGGAGAGAAAGTCGTAATTCGGGTGCAACTTTTACTCCAAGTTTGTGCATATGTAGATACGTACGCCGCGTGGCGTGACGTGTGTGTAAATGCGGTCGGATTTTGCGGTTTGGTCGGATTTACAACTTTCACTTGTGAACGATTGTTCCTATAATTTTGGGAATTAAGCGATGCGTGGAATAAATTAAACAAGCGACAATACTATGTCAAATTCGATGGAAAATCGGTTCTGTTGTGAAAATTGTAGGGGAAAAAATGAGATTTTTTTATAACTTAAAAAAATATTTTAGTTTACAATTTCCACTTGATAGCGATTGGGGGAAAAACAAGCTAATTAAACAAGGGACAACATGTAAAAATAAAAATTGGTAGTTTTTGTTGAGCTAAATCGATTTCAATTTTGATTATATAAATTTAAGCTTGGAATTTTGTTCGGTTTTTAGCCCGAGTCAGGGCTTATGGAACCGTCATGTCCGTCCGTCCGTCCGTCCGTCCGTCCGGCACGATAGAGCCAAAACGGCTGAACCGATTGACTTGAAATTTTTACCATATGCATATTGGACAAAGTTAGGAAACGAGTTCGAAGATGGGCGAAATCGGTCAAGTGGTTGACCGGTGGGGGTCATCGGAGTGGGTGGGGTATTATGCACCAAATTTCAAAATTGTCGTAGAAGGCTAAAATTGGGTACAGAGGTTGCTAATAGCTCCTAATAGATAAAAATGACTTTAAGTTTGAAAAATTTTCATCTTGAGGGACCCTACGGAGTGACCCATACTGATTTTTCAAAATCGTCATAAAAAGCTGAAATTTGGTAGAGAGGTTGCTAATGGGTCTTAATAGAAGAATATGACGTGGAATTGGTAAAATTCTTATCAGGAGCGACCCTATGGGGTGACCCATACCGATTTTTAGAAATTACTTTAAAAACATTAAATCCGGCAAGGTCATACCTAATGGCTTCTCATGAAAGGATATGAAGTTAAAAGTGAGCGAATTTTAACCAGAGTGACCCTGGAGGGTAACCCATACCATTTTTTAAGTTTAATTTTTTCCATCTGAAATTTGGTACGAAGGCTAAAAACCACTTCTTGATAGCAAATATAGCTGTGGAAGTTCAAAGTGGTAATATTATGTCGGTCAATTCGGAGAAAAATTTAGAAACAGCTAGGACTCACGGAGTCAGGGACTCTGTCCCTGACTCGGGCTATATGGAGTCTGCACTGTAGGTTTTTTAAGTACAAAATTTATTCAGAAGAATGATCCCATAAATCGGCAGGATAAGAAAATTAAGCGACGAGGATACCAATTTATGTCAAATTCAATAATTTTAGTTCTGCTAAACCGGTGTGAAAATTTGAGGAACAAATAATACGAGATTCGAGATTTTTGTGGAAAAACATTGAACCGTAATTTTATACGGGTTTCCATTTGAGATGGAAAAATAGTTTTTTTTTTGTGTTATCGTCTCATTAAAAAATTATTCTGTACAAAATATTGAACTTGTTGGTTTGATGGGATACGATTTCGTCTGCATGTTTGGTGGTCCGTTCGGCTGGATGAGGATGAATATGTCGTTTTGTATTTATTTATTTAGGAGGAAGTGGCAGGATTGGATGGGATTTATTTATGCGAGTATTGAGAGGAGCTTGAAGTGAAGGAAATGAACACAATGTGCACTTCCTGTCCAAAAATTGGTGGAGTTGTTAATTGAGGCGATTTATTAGTTGGGTTTGGTCGAGTGGACAGTGGAGCTAGGGGAGGAGGGTGACACATCGTGAGGGATCAAGTGGAGGAGGGTGAAATGTGGGCATTTTTTTGGGATTAGAAATTGCGGAATTGCTAACGAACCATGATGATGATGAAATGCAGTCGGGATCAAAAACAGGACAGATTTTTATATGTAAAAAAATTTGTCGGGATTTTTTTTAGATTACAAATATTCACTGTTAATGAAGAATGATGAAGTTCAAAACCGGGTTGGATATATAAAATAAATTTTATAGGGATATTTTGGAAATTGTGGAATTTTCAGAAATTACAGTCTGGCTGGATTTTTATGTATGGCAAGGCAGATTTTTATGTATGGAAAATTTTGTGGGGATTTTTTTGGATTAGAATTGCGGAATATTCACTGTTAGTGAAAATTACCATGATGAAGTTAGGATAAAAAACGGGTTGGATTTTTTTATACAAAATATTTAAATTTGTAGGGATTTTTTGACGAACTGTAAACTGCGGAATTTTCTTACTCATGACAATAATTAAATGAAATTACAGTCTGGATCAAAAACAGGCTGGATTTTACTATATGCCAATTTTATGTGGATTTCAGATTGCCGTGAAGTAGAGAATGTCGAGCTACGGCTACCCGACGCCGGATCAGGGTCCGTTACCACCCTCGGCGTACGCGAGGGATCGATTCTGGTCGAGTCCTCCCACTTCGGGTGGTGGTGGGGGTGCTGGTGCTGGGGACCCGTGGGGAGCCTCCTACACCCCACAGCTCGAAATCTCATCCTTTTCTAATTCAAGTAAGACATTTTTTATTTTTTTTGAATTATGACGTGATGGATAAAATGCAGGGTTTTGAGCTAATATTTTAAGGTGTACATTTGTCAAAATTTGAGATGTATACTTCTTAAATTGGGAAAGACCTGCTCTACAACGAGTCCTACGTTAAAGAAAAGTATTTTTTTTACAAACGATGGGTTTGACTGCTGTCTTCTTGATCTAAATTCGCATCTTTTTGTGGCTGCAACAACCCCGGAAATCTAAGCTCTGGGTAGAATGGAGCTCAAATTACTGCATTCTGACATAATATTTTGTCCGGGATAACATGTTATCTAATTTTTTGTTTGTTTTACAGACTATTTATCTTATCCTAACGGCGCAGCGCAGAATAATTCTTCTTCGTCGTCATCGCCCGGTTCGGTGCAGCCTGGAAGTCAGAACGATCTCACTTTTTCCGGTCCAAGTCCACCAAATCCGACGCAACTGCAGCCCATTTCTTATCCACCGCCTCCCTCGCCATGTCGTGGTGGAGGTTACACCCCGTCGTCAACGCCCACGCCCTTGATCACGCCGAAACAGGCGAACGGAGGAGTGAACGGTGGGGGGTCGTCGTCTCATAATAATCATCATTCTTCTTCATCTGCGTCGAATTCTCCGCCAAATAATGGACTTAATACTTCGAGAGCGTTCTCATATCTGGATCAGGTGAGGAGTTTTTCTAAGAATTTTGGATAAATGGGAAATTTTCAAGTAAAATTGATGAATGTCCAACAATTGTAATTTTTGAATAAAATTGAAGAATGTGTTGTAATTTGTGGGGAAATTTTCCAGCAAAATTGATGAGTTTCCAATAATCGTGTAATTTCTGGGGAAATTTTTGAATGAAATTGAAGAATTTAATGGCTAATTAAGTTTTGAGTAAAATTGACTAATTTTGGAAATATTTGATTTAGGAGAATCCGACGAGTATGCAGAACGGGGGGCCACCAAACGGTGGACCATCAGGTTCCTCGACCCTTCTCAGTTTAGGGGGAAATAAGAACGAGATGATAAACGGTGGTGGCGACGAGGGGATGTACCGCGCAGGAAATGGGGGGTCAAGGTATTTATCACATTTGACAAATTTAATCCCTCCAAATTTTCCACTAACATTTCTTTTCACTAAATTTCCAGATACGGAGACGGCGGCCCCCTCAACATAAAGTCCGAACCGGGCTCTTCCGAGTATCAATCGTACCACCAATCCTACTACCAAAACTACCCCACGCCCACCACCACGACGACTTCCGGTGGTGGTGGAGGAGGCTACAACCAGCAAAATTATTACCATCAAGACAACAATTCTTCCTCCTCGTCCTCCTCAGCCTCGTACAATCCGTACAATCAACAGCAACACCACACCCACTCGCACCACCACCAACAGCAGCAGCAGCAGCAACAAATGTACCCCGCTTATCCCCCCGACCACCCACACCACCACCCGCACTCCCACACCCATCCCCACCAGCAGCAGCAAGATTACGGTGGCTCAAATTATGGTGGTGGTGGTGGTCCTCCTCCGAACAATTCCTCCTCGTCGTCCTCCTCCCCACCGAATAACAACGAACGAAAACCCACCCCTCCGAAACAACCCGTCATCCCCGGGTCACAAGATCCCGGTAAAATGTACGACTACAATTACGACCCTTCCTCCTCTTCGAACCATGCGACAAGTCCGCCAGCCTCGTCGTATCGATCATACGCTGCTAATTCTTCTTCCCCGCCAAATTCTTCCCTCGTCAAGATGGAGGCTAGGACGTCGCCGAATAACAATTCGACATCGCCACCAAGCACGACAACTACCACGCCACTGATTCCTCCTCCCGTGGCGACGACGACGACGACGAAAGGGAAAAACGGGAAGGACAAGAAGAAGAACAACAATTCGGTGCTTCCCCCACCAAATTCTCTTCAGGACAAGAAAGAATTTGGTGGGGAGAATAATAAGGGGACGGGTAAATCTGACCAGGTGCCGTTGCCGCCACCACTCCCGGCAGCCGCCGCAGCGGGGGCGAAGAAGAAGCGGAAAAAGCGCACGAAACCCACCGCTGCGGAGGGGAAGAAGGGAGACAGCAGTAATTCTGAGTTTGGGAGAGGTATTAAGGAAGAGGGGAAGGAAGGTGGGGGGATTTCCGGGGTTGGGAATAAAGGGAAGAAAGGTGGCGGTGGTGGTAAACAAAGCCAGATTCAGCACTTGCAGCAACAAAGGTCTGTGGATGAGGAGGATCTTCTCCTTGATTTGGAGGATGGTGGTGGTGGTCCTGATTATAATGATGATGACGACTCGAAGGGGAGGAGTGGTGGTGGGGGTGCTGGTGGGGGCAGTGACAAGGACGTGCCGATGGTGGAATGCGGCTGTTTTCCGGCCGACGAGGTGCACGCCGAGCCTGGACCATTTTACACGCACTTGGGCGCGGCACAGAATTTGATCGAATTGAGAAAAGTGGTCGAGAGTAGGACGGGTTTTAGGTGGGTGGGAATTTAGGTCGAGATGGCGAATCACCAAAATCGTCAAAATCAATACGTCTTTAATTATATCTTGGCCTTGGGAATTTATTTTAAAATTCTGGGGGACAATGGTAGTCAATAAGTTAATTCTAGGTAGTAGTAAGGCGGTGAGTTTTTTAAGCCAAGTTCGACGAGGTCCAATTTTTCTGAATGTTTCTTAAACTTGAGATCTCCTCCTTCAAAAACTGTCAAAATCTGAAGCCTATATTTTTGAAAAATTGGCGACGACCTCCTCTACAAATTTATGTATAGTCCGGAATTGTAAAATAAATTCCCAGAGCCGAGAAATGATTTAAATCTTGAAGATTTTGGCAAAGAGTCATCAAGTCATACGTTACAAATTATTGTGTAAAATTTGTCGACAAAATAAGAATTATTTAATTTTTTCCGCAGGGGAAATCAAGTTCGGTTGGAGAAGGTTATTTACACGGGAAAAGAAGGCAAGACCGGGGTGGGATGTCCGTTAGCTAAATGGGTAAATAACTTATTAGTAATTAATACCATGTTATGCTGGCTGAATATTTGTTTATGTAATTTGGAGTTTCTTAAAACTTGATAAGACACGATTTGTATAAATTTAAAAAGATTCTCGAAATTGTTAACTTTTGAAAAATAATTGCAATTTTTCAACGCCACTTTATATTTTTAGGAGCAATTCATATATTATAAGTACTCCAAGATCCATTGTAGGCGCATGAAGGTTTTTGTTAATTATGAAAATTAATTATGATTATGACTGTTTTTAAACTTTTTAGCCCGAGTAAGGGCTTATGTACCCGTCGTGGTTGTCTGTCTGCCCGTTTTGTGATAACTGCCGTAAAACTAGTCCGATTAACTTGAAATTTTGCACACAAATAGCATGTGTCAAATTAGGAGTTAGGTTCGAAGATGAGCGAATCTGCAAAGTGGTTGACCGTGAGGGTCGTATAGGTGGATAGGGTATTGTGCACCACAATTCCAAAATTCAAAAATTGCACGCACAAAATTTCAAAACGATATAAAGTGAAATTGTAAAAATTTTCGTTACCTTCCCACCCTCGGATTATTAATGGATAATAACTGTATATCGATGTATGTAGTTTTTAATTCGTAATAAATTTCTGCTTTCAGATCCTGCGGCGCGGCTCGTTCGAGGAGCAGCTCCTCTTCCTCGTGAAACAACGGAAAGGTCACAAATGCTCGACGGCGTGGATCGTCGTCTGCTGCGTTATTTGGGAAGGAGGTGCGTTGCGTTGCACACTCGGCCTTTCGCCAAGCCTTTATCACTGTGCTTCGGTTTGCGAAATCAAATATGTCCTTCGAGATTTTTTGCGAAAAAAAAATCAATTAAAAAATGTGCATTATTTCAAAATAAAATTAACTCGGTAGCTCTGCCTGTTCAAAAGTTATTGAATGTCAAAGTTTCCAAAATCCCCATTTCTTACACCATCTAGATGATTGAGATGCATCTCAATAAAATTTTGAACTTTAATAACTTTGGAACCAGCCGAGCTACCGAGTTAATCTAATTCTTGAAATAATTTCACTTTTTTAGTTGGTTTTTTAGCAAAAAATCTCGACCGACATACATATATTTCGAAACCGATGAAACATCTTAAGGGCTTGTTTGCATGTGAATCCGCCTGCTAATTAATTATAATTATGGTTACAACTAAATAATTGTGGTTGTTTTTAGTCCCTCCGCATTTTTCGGACAATCTGTACGACACTTTGGTTTACAAGTTGAACCGGTTCGGGATTCCGACGACGAGACGGAGCGATACGAACGAGCAGAGGTCGTGTGCGTGTCAGGGGGTGGATCCAGACACGTGTGGCGCCGCGTACTCCTTCGGCTGTGCGTGGTCAATGTTCTTCAACGGGTGCAAGTATGCGAGGAGTCGGAACGTTCGAAAGTTCCGCTTGACGGAGGAGCATGAGGTTAGTGGATCAAATTAAGGCAGAATTTTGATCAAATTTTAAGAAATTTTGACTGGATTTTAATCAAGTTTGTCTAAATCTTGATAAAATTTTAACCTGACTGAATTTTCGACAAACCTTGAGCAAAAAAATTCTTGAATTTTTTCAAGCCGAAAATCTTGATCAAATTTTTAACAAAATGTTACTCAAAATTTTAACCTTACTGAATTTTGGATTTATTTTTGTAGGAGAGCGAACTAGAGGAGAAAGTGCAACACTTGGCGACCCATTTGGCCCCGTTGTACGAACGTGTCGCCCAAGATTCGTACACGAACCAGATCGATCATGAAAACGAGGGGCTCGAATGTCGCCTCGGGTACCGGCCGGGTCGCCCGTTTTCCGGGGTCACGGCATGTCTCGACTACTGCTCCCACGCCCACAAGGACGCTCACAACATGATGAACGGGTGCACAGTGGTGAGTGACCAAAGTGGCGATTTTAGTAGAGAAAAGGGTCAATCTAATTTATGTGTTTTTTTAGACCGTGTCACTGGCGAGACACCGCACCCTGTCGAAACCCGACGACGAGCAGTTCCACGTCCTCCCGCTGTACAAATTGGACGACACGGACGAGTACGGGTCGAAAGAGGGGCAAAAGGCTAAAATCAAGAAGGGACAGTTGGAAATTTTGAAAAAGTGAGGGTCAAAATCGTATCTTCATCCCTTTGCTAACTTGCGCCATATCTAAACTATAACATTGGCACAAATTAGTAAATTAGCCAAATTATAAATGTGCCACGTTTACTCGATATTTTCTAAATTTGGAGATAAAATATCTCATTTTCCCTATTTTCATTTTTTATAGAAAATATTGTGACATTTTGTCATTTTTGTTGACAGTTTGAAAAAAAAATTGGTAGTTTATTTTGTGAAATGTTTTAAGGATTTTAAATAAAATTGTGGAATTTTGTGAAAGTTTGATTAATTTTTGAGATTTTTGCTAAAAAGTGTTCGTATTATGATTTAGGTATCCTTGCAAAGTTCGAATCCGGAAAGTTCCCCTGCTCCCATCGAGACGCCGAGCGAAGGCAAAATCGCCCGGAGGGGGTGGCGGTAGTGGAGGCGGCGGCGGTGGATCGAAGGGAGGCAGTGAAAGCAACAGTTCAACGCCCACAGTCACACCCACCACGCCGACATCAAAGATACCACAGCAATCGGGAGGCATTTTGGGGGGTGGGATTGGAAACGCCCTGCTGGGAGGGATTGGTGGCGGTGGTGGCGATTATGGCTCGGAAATGCCCCCCGCGAAAAGGGAAAAATTGTTTGATGAGAGGTTATCGAACGGCGGGGATGCGTACGGAGACAGGTTTCATCATCAAGGTGGAGGTTACGGATTAGGGCAGCAGTTACCTGGATTGGGACATTCGTTCAGTAAGTTGACTTATCCAATCTACCACCACTTGGGATTGATAACCAAATTACGAGTGGATAAGCGAGTGCCTACCACCACAACAAATATTATTTTTTTCGCATCTCAGTTTGACGTAAAAATTACACAAAATTTATTAAAATTACAAGCAAACTGAATTTTGTTACAAAACCCGTAATTTTGTTTTGCAAATGAAATAAATGGAAAAATAATTCTCCAATTTGATTTCAAATTTTGAATTCAAAAATTTTTAAATCTGTAAAAACAAATAAATAAGTTTGTGTAATTTTCGAAAATATTAAATCATGGTGGTCGTTGTGGTGGCACAGTTACTTATTTTAAGGTGACTGATAATGTGTTGTCTTACCTTAGATGATCTCACTGGAGGTGGTGGAGCCCCATCGGGGACAGGATCGCTCTGGAACACCCCCCATTTCGGGATGGGCGGCTCCTCCTCATCGCCCTCAAACTCCTCTCCCCATCACCGCGGTCTCTCCTCCTCCTACTTCGACCACGCCTCTTCTTCCACCTCGTCATCCTCCCTTTCCGGTGGGGGTGGTGGTCCGCTCGGCCCTGGTGGGACATCCTCCTCCCTCTCGTCTCTCACCGAACTCACAAATTCCACCATTTCCCGGCATGGATCTACCTCTTCGACCGGCGGTGGCGGATCCTCCTCGTCATCCACTCTCCTCAGTTCACCCGGTTCTTCCGGTGGGAACCCGGGTTCCGCGTCATCTTCGGGATACTCATCAATGTCCCCGATCCTCCCCTCCTTTCGAAATACGTTCATGACAGAAGCGGAATCACTCGGATTGGGAGAAAACAACTCTGCCTCGTCCTCCTCCTCCAGCCCACGGTCACACCAGCAGCAAAAACAGCAGGGCCAGCAGCAGTCCCACCACCACCAGCAACAACAACTCCAATCCACCCCCGCATTTCAAGACCACACCTCCTCTCACCCGTACGGCGCCTCCGCCTCCTCCTCTTCTTCATCCCCCTACAACCCCGGCGGTTCTTCCTCCTTACATTACGCCTCCTCCACACCGCTCTACCACCCACAACCCCACAACCCGTGCCTTCCCCCTACCTCCCACCTCCACCACAATTCCCACCACCACAACCCGTACCAACCTCAAGCCTACCACCCACACGACGCTCCCTCCCCCTACACGGCCTCGTTCCCCCCCTCGCTCGGCGGCTGGTCTGCCGCTGCTGCGGCGTACTCCTCAAACTACGCGGCTGCCGCGGCGTACTCTTCCTACCCTGGCCTACAAGCGCCCAATTACATGTCGCACCATCACCAATACTCGCCGTATCATCATCAACACCACATCCCACCGCCGCCCCCGTCACGCATGATTCCTGGCCAGTCGTCGGTCGGCTCGTCCTCCGCGTGGGGTCAGTCGCCGCATCAGTTCAACTTCTCCGCTGGCGGACAACCCGCCCCACTCGGGATGAATATGAACATGAACATGAATCTCGTCCCGCCACAAGGCGGACCAGTCCCGGGACCACCGCCGTCCTGTTTTGTGACGCCGCCAAAGCCGAAAGTCATCCCGGAAGTGAACGAGTCCTCCTCGGATAATGAGGACTGCTTCAAAGACCCCGCCATGGGTGGCGTGGCGATCGCTTTGACGCATGGGTCCGTCATTTTGCAATGTGCGAAGCATGAAATGCATGCCACGACGGCGTTGAAGAACCCGAATCGGATGTACCCGTCGAGGATTTGTCTCATATTTTATCAGCATAAAAGTATGAATAACCGGTTTCACGGGTGGTCCGAGTGGGAGAAGAAGATCGAGGCGAAAAAGTTGCAGGAAGTGAAGCTGATCAATCAAGGAAAGATGGAGGCGAGTCCGAGGAAGATGAAGCAGTTGATTAAAGAGGGGTACATTCAGGACCAGCAGTGATTTTGAGAGGGGGGAATATTGACCAAGAAATTTCGACCACTTTTTTTCATGATTTAGAGTTTTCCTGAAATTAACTCTTTGAGATTTCCGAGATCAAAATACCATAGTGAAATTCTCTTTTTAAAGACGAAACGTAAATCAAGTATGCAATTAGGGTTAGAGGGGAGATAAGTTTAATGCGGGGGGATAGTTATATTGCTTTACTCTTTAGTAACTTGCGCCATAGTTATGTACATAATATTGGCGCAAGTTGGTAAAGAGTGAAGTGTAGACTTATCAGGAAATTGAAGTCATTCTTGTAGTTATCTTAATTTATGAGTCAGTTATCTTATCATGAATTTGAGATCTCATAAAATATTTACATACATACGTAGTTAATTTCCTTATTTAGTTTTACGGTACGGAAAATTTAAAATTTTAATTAGTTCATTAATCATTAATAATTATGGACAAAGATAAATGTACAAAAAAGTACAAGAAATCGAAATCAATGGATGCAAAAGAATCAATCAATCTCAAAAAATCAATCAAGTATATTTACTTTGTAAAATATAAGTAGGAAAAGTTTCAAATTGTAAAAAATCTCAGAGATTATGAAATTTTTAAATAAATAAAATCTTTTTTTAATTAAGAATTCATCGCAGCAATTAAAGCGATAATTATTATTCGTACTAATTAATTAATGAAGTTAAAAGATAGTCATCATTCCATTATTTATTTGTTTATTAAGTATGTAAATTAGGTACGAATTTACATAAATACATAACATCACTGCTAATTAAATGGTACTATGTATAATATTATGATAACCTGTATACATAAGATAAGTTGTTATCCTTATTAATTTTAATAGAATAGTTAATAAGGATATATAATTTTCTCGCTAAAGATATTTCCATATGAAGTAAATTGGCAACAATGTTTGGAAAATAATTATCCTAAGTATGAAAAAATGAAGTGAAAATGAAATACTGTTCGACCTAAAAAACCTATCAAAATTCAGATTCAGTTTATTTCGAAAATGAAAATAATTCTTAGAAAGAAATTGAAATTAAAAAAATGTAACGTTAAAGATCTAGGAAATACAAGCTGCAATTAAATATTTAATTGTTTACGTAATCTGTGTCAATCAAAATACATAATGGTGAAATTAATGAGAAGATGGAATGAAGCAACTGAAGCCAAAGAATCAGCAAGAAGATTAAATATGATAAGAAATCTAAACTTCCAAATATTTTAAGGAGGTTGAATCCCATTTTAAAAAGTCATGCAGTTTGATTAATTATTATTATCGTTAAAATGTTAAATAGTTGTACAAGTAAGCATGTAAAAAAGAAAAGAGATGAATCAATCAAGATGAAATACATCACAACTTGTTGAAAAAAAAACTGGAATGTGTGTCCTTTTAATGGTTTATTTGTTTTCATACTTCAAATGATACGAGCATTGTTTCAAACTTAGGAGGGGAACCTCACTAGTTGCCACCCACAGATCTCGATGCCCTTTGGATATGTTGGAGCACCCCATGAGTGAACAACAACCCCGAAGTGGTTCGATGCCATGGCCACATTTGCACCCGCCACACCCACCTAAAGGCGTAAAAAATACGAAAAAAACCCTGTTTTCACTCAATAAAACCCTCGCCAAAAATCTAATTTCTATAGGATTTTGAAAATATTACACCATTATACTCCCAGATAGTTGTGTTACCATATCCAATATCAAACTCAACTTTTTTGAAATTTTAATTTTTTCGAAGACGTACCCCTGGTCAGGAAATTTTCGAAAATATTCAAAAAATTTGAAAAATATATTCTAGTGTCGGATATTATAAAACAACTATCTGGCAATGTACTGGTGCAAAATTTTGAAATTGTGGTCAAATTTGAATTTTTGGCCAGCGTTTGAAGATGGCGTCGTGTTTTTGACGCCTTTAAGTGGGTGTGGCGGGCGCAAATGTGGCCATGGCATCAAACCACTTGGGGGTTGTTGTTCACTCATGGGGTCTAGAGGACCCCAACAAATGTTGGGGGTCTAGAGGACCCCAACAAATGTTGGGGGTCTAGAGGACCCCAACAAACGTAGGGGGTCTAGAGGACCCCAACAAATGTTGGGGTCCTATAGACCCCCAACAAATGTTGGGCCCTGATAGACCCCCAACAAACGTTGGGGTCCGATAGACCCCCAACAAACGTTGGGGTCCGATAGACCCCCAACAAACGTTGGGGTCCGATAGACCTCCAACAAACGTTGGGGTCTGATAGACCCCCAACAAACGTTGGGGTCCGATAGACCCCCAACAAACGTTGGGGTCCGATAGACCCCCAACAAACGTTGGGGTCCGATAGACCCCCAACAAACGTTGGGGTCCGATAGACTCCAACAAACGTTGGGGTCTGATAGACCCCCAACAAACGTTGGGGTCCGATAGACCCCCAACAAACGTTGGGGTCCGATAGACCCCCAACAAACGTTGGGGTCCGACAGACCCCCAACAAACGTTGGGGTCTGATAGACCCCCAACAAACGTTGGGGTCTGATAGACCCCCAACAAACGTTGGGGTCCGATAGACCCCCAACAAATGTTGGGGTCTGATAGACCCCCAACAAATGTTGGGGTCCGATAGACCCCCAACAAATGTTGGGGTCTGATAGACCCCCAACAAACGTTGGGGTCCGATAGACCCCCAACAAACGTTGGGGTCTGATCGACCCCCAACAAACGTTGGGGTCTGATCGACCCCCAACAAACGTTGGGGTCCGATAGACCCCCATCAAACGTTGGGGTCTGATACACCCCCAACAAACGTTGGGGTCCGATAGACCCCCAACAAACGTTGGGGTCTGATAGACCCCCAACAAACGTTGGAGTCCGATAGACCCCCAACAAACGTTGGGGTCTGATAGACCCCCAACAAACGTTGGGGTCCGATAGACCCCAACAAACGTTGGGGTCTGATAGACCCCCAACAAACGTTGGGGTCCGATAGACCCCAACAAACGTTGGGGTCCGATAGACCCCCAACAAACGTTGGGGTCTGATAGACCCCCAACAAACGTTGGGGTCTGATAGACCCCAACAAACGTTGGGGTCCGATAGACCCCCAACAAACGTTGGGGTCTGATAGACCCCCAACAAACGTTGGGGTCGATAGACCCCCAACAAACGTTGGGGTCCGATAGACCCCCAACAAACGTTGGGGTCCGATAGACCCCCAACAAACGTTGGGGTCTGATAGACCCCCAACAAACGTTGGGGTCTGATAGACCCCAACAAACGTTGGGTCGATAGACCCCAACAACGTTGGGTCCGATAGACCCCCAACAAACGTTGGGGTCTGATAGACCCCCAACAAACGTTGGGGTCCGATAGACCCCAACAAACGTAGGGTCTGATAGACCCCCAACAAACGTTGGGGTCCGATAGACCCCCAACAAAGTTGGGTCTGATAGACCCCCAACAACGTTGGGGTCCGATAGACCCCCAGAAACGTTGCGGTCTGATAGACCCCCAACAAACGTTGGGGTCCGATAGACCCCAACAAACGTTGGGGTCCGATAGCCCCCAACAAACGTTGGGGTCTGATAGACCCCAACAAACGTTGGGGTCCGATAGACCCCCAACAAAGTTGGGTCTGATAGACCCCCAACAAACGTTGGGGTCCGATAGACCCCCACAAATGTTGGGTCTGATAGACCCCAACAAACGTTGGGGTCCGATAGACCCCCAACAAACGTTGGGGTCCGATAGACCCCCAACAAACGTTGGGGTCTGATAGACCCCCAACAAACGTTGGGGTCCGATAGACCCCCAACAAACGTTGGGGTCGATAGACCCCCAACAAACGTTGGGGTCTGATAGACCCCCAACAAACGTTGGGGTCCGATAGACCCCCAACAAACGTTGGGGTCTGATAGACCCCAACAAACGTTGGTCCGATAGACCCCCAACAAACGTAGGGGTCTGATAGACCCCCAACAAACGTTGGGGTCCGATAGACCCAAGAATGTTGCGGTCTGATAGACCCCAACAAACGTTGGGGTCCGATAGACCCCCAGAACGTTGCGGTCTGATAGACCCCCAACAAACGTTGGGGTCTGATAGACCCCCAACAACGTGGGTCCGATAGCCCCCAACAAACGTTGGGGTCTGATAGACCCCCAACAAACGTTGGGGTCCGATAGACCCCAACAAATGTTGGGGTCTGATAGACCCCCAACAAACGTTGGGGTCCGATAGACCCCCAACAAACGTTGGGGTCCGATAGACCCCCAACAAACGTTGGGGTCTGATAGACCCCCAACAAACGTTGGGGTCTGATAGACCCCCAACAAACGTTGGGGTCTGATAGACCCCAACAAACGTTGGGGTCCGATAGACCCCCAACAAACGTAGGGGTCTGATAGACCCCCAACAAACGTTGGGGTCCGATACACCCCCAAGAAATGTTGCGGTCTGATAGACCCCCAACAAACGTTGGGGTCCGATAGACCCCCCAGAAACGTTGCGGTCTGATAGACCCCCAACAAACGTTGGGGTCTGATAGACCCCCAACAAACGTTGGGGTATGATGGACCCCCAAGAAACGTTGGGGTCCGATAGACCCCCAACAAACGTTGGGGTCTGATAGACCCCCAACAAACGTTGGGGTCCGATAGACCCCCAACAAACGTTGGGGTCTGATAGACCCCCAACAAACGTAGGGGTCCGATAGACCCCCAACAAACGTTGGGGTCGATAGACCCCCAACAAACGTTGGGGTCCGATAGACCCCCAACAAACGTTGGGGTCTGATAGACCCCCAACAAACGTTGGGGTGCGATAGACCCCCAACAAACGTTGGGGTCCGATAGACCCCCAACAAACGTTGGGGTCCGACAGACCCCCAACAAACGTTGGGGTCTGATAGACCCCCAACAAACGTTGGGGTCCGATAGACCCCCAACAAACGTTGGGGTCTGATAGACCCCCAACAAACGTTGGGGTCTGATAGACCCCCAACAAACGTTGGGGTCTGATAGACCCCCAACAAACGTTGGGGTCTGATAGACCCCCAACAAACGTTGGGGTCTGATAGACCCCCAACAAACGTTGGGGTCTGATAGACCCCCAACAAACGTTGGGGTCTGATAGACCCCCAACAAATGTTGGGGTCTGATAGACCCCCAACAAAGGTTGGGGTCTGATAGACCCCCAACAAAGTTGGACCCCGTTGGGTCTGATAGACCCCCAACAAATGTTGGGGTCTGATAGACCCCCAACAAATGTTGGGGTCTGATAGACCCCAACAAACGTTGGGGTCTGATAGACCCCCAACAAATGTTGGGGTCTGATAGACCCCCAACAATGTTGGGGTCTGATAGACCCCCAACAAACGTTGGGGTCTGATAGACCCCCAACAAACGTTGGGTCCGATAGACCCCCAACAAACGTTGGGGTCCGATAGACCCCAACAAACGTTGGGGTCTGATCGACCCCCAACAAACGTTGGGGTCTGATCGACCCCCAACAAACGTTGGGGTCCGATAACCCCCAATCAAACGTTGGGGTCTGATAGACCCCCAACAAACGTTGGGGTCCGTTAGACCCCCAACAAACGTTGGGTCTGATAGACCCCCAACAAACGTTGGGGTCCGATAGACCCCAAGAAACGTTGGGGTCTGATAGACCCCCAACAAACGTTGGGGTCCGATAGACCCCCAACAAACGTTGGGGTCTGATAGACCCCCAACAAACGTTGGGGTCCGATAGACCCCCAACAAACGTTGGGGTCCGATAGACCCTAATAAACGTAGGGGTCTGATAGACCCCCAACAAACGTTGGGGTCCGATAGACCCAAAGAATGTTGGGTCTGATAGACCCCCAACAAACGTTGGGTCCGATAGACCCCAACAAACGTTGGGGT